AACAACTACCAGCAACTGAACGGTGGAATGCGCAGTGATATCTGGTCTTACGGGAGTTATGCGTTGTTTGTTTCATGACAGAAGTATTTGCTTTAGAAAATATTTATTAATAATTGAATGGTCAGAAACTGGGTACATTGTTTCCTCCGTTGATCAGTTAATCGTACAAAAATGAAACGGATCGGTATGTTTGACAGAACGCTGTTTCGTAGTGGTAAAAGCTGGCGACTTTTCGTTTGGTATCTCGCAGAATTATAGAAATATAAACGCTGCAAGACCATGTGCAAACTTCACTCTCATGAATGTCTGTGATGGAAACAGTCTCGTGAGTAGTCGAAAATTAGGCGATTTATCACTCTGACAGTCCTTCGCATTGTGCTGAATAGAGCATGTTTCCTTGTTTTTGGTAGTTACTTCATTATAGGTGCTATGTGGTCCATTCTTGGTTGGCTGTTGTAACCCATATACTCATGCTTCAGTCATTTTTCAGGTTTATGACCGTCGCTTCTTTGTTGTTCAGTTCTGTTCCCATTCTGCGGTGTGAGAGTCATTGGCCGAAGTGGCGATTTGCCACTTAACTACCGTATAATAACGCACTGACCCATTGCAAATCATGTGACCTAATGATCACAACGACCCTTCTTTGTTTGCCACCAATAATATTTACCAGTTTTATTGAATCAGCTTTAGCCGCCGTATATTTTTTTTGCCCGAGATAGGTTAACAGTGCACATATTAAAAAATGAAATTTTCCGTCTGTGCAGCTCAGATCGATGGGTAGATGAGTCGAGACGATAGATGCGAGAGCAATTTCCCAGAGATGACGCTGCGATGTTGCGGTATTCGTCAGAGTAGGCCAAGTGTCAGGTCAGGTTAGCGGCACCAATATATCATTTACTAACGACGTGTAGATGACGCATGTAGATTATGGCACTCAAGAAGGCCATCAAAAATCAGGCTGATGTTTACATTTTATGTTGAAATCATCCGACCTGAGTCTAACTCTGTAGCTGT